TTTAAATGGCTGTGTGTTTAATTGCCCCAAAATTATCAAACAAAAAAGGGAGGAGGGCTAAAAATAGGGATGGGAATGATAGTTTTGACAAATCTTGTGGGTGGGTGGGTAGGTGCAGTCTCTCTGCCAAAACCCATCAGAAACTCTGCAGTGGATTTCAGAGTCCAGTATCAAATCTGTACTCTAGCCTAGATGCCTCAATGGATTTTGGAAGGGATCCTAGGCTTTGCCATGCATGTATTAGATTTCCAGAACATTGGTGATTTTGTCTGCAGATGTGGGCTGAGTCTTTGTGTTCTGGAGACATTTCTGGGCTGCCTTAAGCTTTACCGGGCATCCTCTCCTCCCAAAGGATGCAATGATATTCCTATGCCTCACTTAAATTAGCCTGATGCACAAGGAAATAGGCTCCCGTGCCTAAGATAGTTGTGTGGAATTGTTCTGACAAGCTACACTTGCTGAAATTCCCTCTTCAGCAAGATTTTCAAAGATGCAAGAGCCCTATCTTCTCTTCCAGCTTCCCACTCTGGCACCAGAATAGCTAAAGCCTTTCTCCAAATGTGCCAAGAGACCCAGTGGAGCTTTGGAAAGAGACCAGAAGCATTCACAATCCAGGAGGACTGTCAAAGACAAAGGTCTAATTCAGCACAGGCTTACTGCAGTGGCAGGAAGGTTTATAGTGGGAAACTGGAAACATCTGAAAGGGGCCTGGTGTAGACAGTTGTGTGTTCTCTTAATTATGGGGAAATGTGGTTGAGTAGGGGACAAATTAAGCAAAGATAATTTCTCAAGTGTCTGGCAAAGCTTTGTTTTGCACATAAATGATGTTACTATTATCCAAACTGTTCCAGGCAGGGCAGCCAGCATTTGGAATGCTTGCCATCTCTTAAATAAGATTGGAAACTGTAGGTGGGGTCTTGGGCTAGCTACCTCTTGTAAAAACATGTATATTAGTGAGGGTTCAAGAGTGACAAAAATAAATAATTCTGTTGATTTATGGTAGCATTACCTGTCATGTATGACATTTGCAAATAACTTGTACTTCCTTTCCTTATCCTTGTTCTCTGTTTTCTACATCTTATTTATATGTATCTATTTTCTGCCTTTCCCCCTCAGCTATGAGTTTGTATTGTATTTTTGTTTATACTGAAACATAATAAAGAATTTTAAAAACAACAGTTACAGCACAGCAGTGTTAATTCTCTCTTAGCTACCGTTTCAAAATCAAGCCTGGATTTGATGTGGATTAATGCAGACCCATCTTTTATTTTATTTTCAATGGCTCCTAGAGATGACTGTAGGCATTTTGGAGGGTCAGAAAGTCCCCATTTCCCTTAGATTCTTGCCTTCCAATTCCAAACATCACCCCACTGTCAAATTCCACCTCCCCCACATTATTTTTCCTCCTCTCTCCCAAGTTCCTGGATTTTCTTGGTTGTTGTCTGTTTTGACTTTGGACCCTGCCCCGTTGTAGCTGACACACTGTGTTTTCTCTGCTGTTTACGACAGCCAGGCCAGTTGGAAATCATCTGCAGGAATGGGGGGATGGGGGACGGGAGCCACATATGATATCCCTAATCCTTGTTTCCATGTAAGGCTGTGCATAGCCATGTGGCATGGCCTTGATAGCCTATTGAACTTAGCTGTAGTGCCCATTGTAGTTTCACATTGCAATGTAGTATTTTTAATATCGTAACCAGGGCTGGAAAGTGGAGTAGAAACTGCAGCAGCAATGGCAAGCGTGCGGCCCTTGGCAGGAAATTTCAATCTGAAGTGAGGCAGTAGAAAAACTATGATAATAGACTAGGCAGGGTTATTCAACAAAGGTCTGCCGAGTAATTTTATCTTGCTCAGATCTAAAGCATACCACTTGGAGGTCAGAGTGAAGCTTTGTCTGATATCGTCCTTAGGCTGTATTCTGGGGCTAATTGGTTGGAAGACTTGGATGTGTATAGGCCGTAACTGTGTTTCATAAATGCCTTGCCATGTTTTCACTACACTGTGACCTGGGTGCTAATTTCTGATGTTACTGTAGGGCAAGCTGGCAAACATGTAGCCCTCTAGATGTTGTTGGACTCAAGGCTTCCAATAGCCCAAGCCAGCATGGTCAGTGGTGAGGGATTATGGGAGTTGTAAACCATCCACATCTGGAGGGGCACAGGTTAGCCACCCCTGTTGAAAGGCAATGGGCCCATTATGGCAGAAATGGGAAGCTTGTGGCCCTCCACATGTCATTGGACCACAACCCATATCATCCTTGACCACTGGCCATGCTGGCTGGGAGTTATAGAAGCTGGAGCCCAAGAACTGGAGTTTTCCAAGATGGCTCCCCTCCGCCGGCAATAGATCAACTCCTGCTCTAGGTGGACAGATTTGTGGGTGTTTATTATGATCTGCTATTATTTGTTTATTTAAAGATCCATTTCCTCAAAAGTCCAAAGCAGCTAACAATCTAGAAACAACAAATATAATAAAAAGTAACAAGGAACACATTTTACAAAGGGCCGCTTTAGGTCTTTTAATCTGTGGTGATAAATAGACATTAGTTATTTAGCCTGTCATTCTTTAGAGTGTGACAACTAGTTTTTAGGAAATCTCTACACGTCAATTGAATAAGACTGCTGCAATTCTAAACAGATTAGGCTAGCGAGTCAGCTCTACTTGTCCCAGTGAGATTTACTGCTGAATAAACATGTATGGGACTGCACTACATAAGCAGTTAGTTGCCTTGATCCTATACTTCTTCAGTTTATTTTACAATGTAAACAAATAGATAAACCTCTGCAAAAAAAAGAACTCTTACAACTTAAGGAATTATAGATGAAGGGGAAAGGGATGAAAAGTGGAGCCCTAAGAAATATTTCTCCACTAGATGTCTCCACTACACAACATTTGTTAACAGGACTGAAAGAAGGCCCCTAGAGAAAAGAAAATGAAATTGTGCAAGGGATAAAGGTTGGGTATGAGAAGAGCAAAAGGCAGCAATTGAGGCTTTCATCCATAAGCTGCCTAAGCAAAGGAGCTATGAGCACACCCAATGCAACTAAAACAGGGCAAGAGCGAGAACGCTGGTTTGTCAATGTCATTGTTTAAGTTTATAGATTGCACTTCTGAGAGATGTTCTGTTGATAACTTGATGCCTGTGTCTTTAATGTAAGTTTCTTCTTCTGAGGCTAGAGCTTGAAATGTGGGTTTCTTGTTTTTAAACTGTGTCCACCCCCTGTAATTTATATTGCTTTATTTACACTGCAACACAGAGAAGGTGTTTGCCCCACACCCTGAGGGCCTAGTTTGTACCACTGCTGAAGAGGTAGAATCATAGAATTGTAGAGTTGGAAGGCACCTTGAATGTCATTTAGGAATCTCAGCTGAAGCATCCCTGACAGAAGGCCAGCCAACTTCTGTTTAAAAATAGGTTGGCAGGCAAAGCGTGATAGTTGCTGTGGGAAGTCTACAATTGTACGGTTTATAATTTTTGCACAATCCTTTACATGTCTAGTCAGAGGCAACTCCCATGGAGGGGATAAGATTACACCTTAAGAATATTTCTGTCAGACCCATGTTTTGTATGAAAACATGCGTTGGAAGGTCATCTGAAGTCTCTCATCCGCAACACCAACCTTCCACTTGTGCCAATGCTGCAAATTAATGCATTACCCCTTTCTGATACCTGAATCAGCCGCAAGAGAAAGGTGCTTTGATGGCTCTTGAACATGAAAAGGAATAATTTTGGCTGTGGCTTTCTAGATCTTTTGCTCTTTGGGTCTTGGAAGCAGCAAGGTGCATTGATTCATGTAAGTCAGAATTATTAAGTTTATTCGTCACCTTTTTGCCTCATAAAAACACCCAAGGTGACGTGCATCTCAGTTAAAAAAACAAAACTTTTCACCAAAAAAATCATATCACTTTTTCAAACTCATATTGATGGAATGCTCATCTTAGACAGCTAATCCCTCACAGGATTTACAGACGAAATAAAACATTTTATTTTTCCTGCTTTGTTAGACCAAACTCCAATCTAGCACCAGTGGTTGTTTGTTTTGTTTGTTTTGAGTGGAGAAAGGGAGAAATAGTCAGCTGATAGCTTTCAAAACAAAAGTAAATAATGGGAGATGTATGTTCTGTCACTGGAGAAGGGGAGCACACAATCTTGAAAGAAAGTCTAAAAAGAAAAATACTGAAAGGTTCATGAAACAACCCTCGCCCCCCCCCCCGCCCAGCAAATAACGTTTTTATGTTTATTTTTTAAGTCACACCCACAAAATCAATTGCCCTCCCCTTTCTTTTGCTCCACAGGTAGGCAGCCTTGAATTCCTCTCCTAATTTGCAAAGTCCGTTCCCTTTTCACAACCAAATTTTGGAGACATTTATGGAAAATATCCTAAACGATCAAATCCGTCTTGGAAAAGAGACTGCATTTTGCCATGGGATTTCATCGCAAACAACAATCTGCTAGTGAGGCAGGGAGGAGGACTAAGTTGGAGTGGGGAACTCTTGTCAGCCGCGACGGCTATACAATATTCCCTCTGAGCAACCTTCTGAGGACCACAGGTCAGTGGGGGGCAGAGCCAGAGGCAAATGTGAGTGGAGTCACAAATGTAAACTTTTGTAGTGGAAGCTCACATGCCCCTCTCTGTCCTCCATCCAGACAAGTGAGAAGCATTATCAGAGGTGAGGGACACATTCCAGCCAGGCAAAAGCATGCAAGCAGGGTGGAAAGCCTGGCCAGTGAGGGGTGTGGCCTGTAGAATGTTCTGAGGGCCAGATAGAAAGGCCTGGAGGACCACATTTGAGTCCAAGGCCTGAGGTTCCCCATCATCCTAAGCCCCATCATCCTACTCACCATTCCCCGCCCTGCCAACTGAGTGTTTCAACAGATTCTGCAAAGAGGAAAACAGGCCTGGGGGTTCAAGGTACAAAATTGTAGCAGTTGCTGTAGTCCCACCAGAAGCCCTTGGAGAACTTTGTAATTTTTGGAAAACAGACAGTGGGGAGTCAAGTCTATTTTAAATGCACACATTTAATAGTTCTTTCAATATACAGATCCTGGAAACATTGCAGTGGACTGGAAACTCTTTTCAGAAAAAGAGAGAACTTCCTTGTCAACATGGATGCTCTTGTTGGCAATCCTTCTCTGAGATACAGGGAAACCTTCTGAGATCTGAGTCAGATTTGGAATCTAGAAAGTCTTAACGAAAACAGGCACATCCATGAGAGAGACTGAATAGTTCCTGATGAAGGTCCCTCCATCAAACACCTGGGCCGTGTTGATGTCCTTCCACTTCTGACCTTCTCTGGGCAGGTAAATATCTCTTTGACGTTGCCCTTGTTCAGTTATTGGGGCAACAAGGACCTGGATTGAAAAAGGAAAGTTAGAAGCCTTGGAACATAGAAAACTGCTTTATACTCAGACCATTGGTCCATCAAGCTCAGTTGTGTAGACACTGCCTGCCTGCCCTATCTGGAGGCATGAGACATTAAACCTGGGATCTAATGGATGTGAAGCATATGCTCTACCAGGGCTGTAGCCTTGCCCTTAAAGTATGTAGTCAGAACACTGATAATTTCCGCTCAGCCCCTCCAAGAGGTGGATGGGGTTTGCGATCCTGGGACCAGGGTGCCACCCGCCTTGGCTACAGGGTGGCCATCGCCCCACTGATAAAGTAAAGCTCACTTGAAACCAGCACACTATTACCTGTTCTGATAATGACTTTATATCATAACGGTGAAATCAATAAAGTTTGCTTTGACGCCATCTATTAAAACCCCACCCTTCTTCCCAAAAGATCCTAGGGCGGCAAACAACAAGTGATAAAATGATTACCGTATTTTTCGGCCTATAGGACGCACTTTTCCCCCTCCAAAAATGAAGGGGAAATGTGTGTGCGTCCTATGGGGCGAATACAGGCTTTCGCTGAAGCCTGGAGAACGAGAGGAGTCGGTGCGCACCGACCCCTCTTGCTCTCCAGGCTTCAGGAAGCTCTGCGCAACCCTCGGGAGCCCGGCGCAAAGCCGCGCTGGGCTCTGGTGGGTTGCACAGAGCTGCCTGCGCTCCAGGGCAGAGCGCCCCGTACTTTGGGAAGACATCGGCAGCCCCACAAGCTCAGGGGACAGCGGGGAGGCGCAGCGCCGCCATCCCGCTGTTCCCCGACCTGGTTTGGATTCCCCGACCTGGTTTTGGGGGGGGATAAAGGAAATTTCCCCCCCCTTTATTTCCCCCCCAAAAAACTAGGTGCGTCCTATGGGCCGGTGCGTCCTATGGGACGAAAAATATGGTAAAAAATCTTGAAAAGATGTTACGAACGTCTTTAAAACAATACTGTACTGATGCAAACTGGGCAAAGACTGATCTAAAGAGAGGTTCCAGGAAGACGAGGGCAGCCTTTTTTTGGTTTGTTTTAAAACGCAGAGTTCTAAGGTACTAGAGTGCACAAATGTTCATCATTACAGCACAATGGTTCTTTCCAAATTCATGAAAGATTCTTTATGAGTGACAGACTTGAGTCTGAGTCCATACTTATTTTAATTGGAATTGCCAGGAGTTGCAAACACATTACGTTGTATTTTCAGAACTGAACTTTTATCACAAATTTGGATCCCAGCCGCTCAGCAGAAAGGCCTGATGTTCTTAGTCCAATCTTTGGTTTTGCATTAGCTGTATCGTAAGAAAAGATCTCTTCTTGTTAATGCAGGCCATATTTCTGCATTGGAAACTGTCCGATTCAATTTTAGAGATTCCCCCCGCTGCCCCATTTAAGTGATTTTCTGGGAGGAGATATGTGATGATATCTTATAAGTGCAGATTCCACTTGTCAGCTTACTGTAGGCTGCATTTCACAAATAATGTTTGCCATGAAATTGAATTTATGTTCTTTTTAAAATGCAAGGGCCAAACTAGTGGAATGATGGCCTGCCTTGTTTACAGAAATGGATCTGCTGCTCCATTTCTATAAAGCGTGAAGCAGATTTAAAGTGGGAAAATGTCCTTTTCTGCTGCCTGTACCTTTTCTCTGAAACCCCTTTGATTTTCTCCTAGTGGACCTCCATGGCTAAAAGTAACACTGGCTAAGAGGAAAACACATTTCAAATACTTTCACCTGGAAAAGCATAGATGGGGATATTTAATTCCCCCACTGATGCCATGCTTTAAATTGACCCGGGCACCAATTTAGAAGGAGTCAGGAAGAGTCATAGCTAGGTCCTGCTGCCATCACCTCTAGTTCAAAAGTGGGGAAATGGCCACCTTTATTTGTCGCAAGCTGAATACATCCACTGAAATCAATATAAAAGCATCAAGGTCTCAGGAATTGATATATGTCAAAGCTCTGAGCCTTTCATGTTGGAAAGTGTAATGGCTTTTTACAAATGGCCATGATTTCCATTTTCACCTCCAATAAAATGTACCTACTTCCAAGAACAAGGATCTTGGTACAGCGATGCTAGGACATTTGCCCTAGGCCTCTATGCAACAGATAAGAAACCTGTAATTGATGCTGACACTATTACGCTTCTGGAGCTGCAGTTCACCTTATGGAATTAAGGACAGGTGATGAGTGTCTGTTTCACTTAACTGAATCAGATGAGGCAGTGGGATTCTGGAGTACAGACCTGACGTGGAATGGATTCTGACACAGAAGAATATATTAACTAGCCCCAATATAACCAGAAAAGGCCACCTATTCCTGAGTTTATAACCACAAACAAAGGCAATAAAATATGAAGTCAATATAAATGTTTATACTAATGTCTCCATTCCACAAGAGTATTATATTTCTTTCACTCACAGAATTTCCATGTACACAGGTGATGACAGCTTTCTGACATACTTGTTTTGTTCCCTTTCTGGGGCCTGTTTTTTACTACTAATGTTTAAAGATCACAAGGACACAAGCATAAGCCTAGTACAGTGGTACCTCGGTTTTCAAACAGCTTAGTTCCAGAACAACACGGAACCTGAACACTGCAAACCCGGAAGTAGGTGATTCGGTTTTCGAACTTTGCCTCAGAAGCCGAATGTGCTCTTGAGCTTCCATTTTCACTGTTGCGCAGCTCATTTGAGTCCCCTGCATAGTTATTAAGGCTTTTTTCCTGCTGTTTTTACCCTTGCGCAGCTTATTTAAGTCCTCCCCCCATCGAAATTAAGGCTTTTTTCCTTCCATTTTTACCCTTGCACAGCTAATTTAAGTCCCCTCCCCCCATCGTAATTAAAGTCTTCTGTTTCTGATTACAGTGTTCTGAGGTGATATTTGGTGCTTTTGTTTTTGCTAATTTTTTGAGTTTTTGTTTGTGTGGCTTTTTCATTTTTGTGACTGTGGCTTGTTTTTTGTTTTATGACTGATTGATTGTTTGATTGTGTGACTGTGGAAATGGATAAAAGCCCCCCATCCAAACAGTGACTATCATCAGTGCAGGTAAGGAAAAAAAATTAATTTTAATTTTTATCATCTACAATACTGTCTTATTTATTTTATAGTACAGAACATTGATTATTGCTTTCATTTTATGGATCAATGGTCTTGTTAGATAGTAAAATTCATGTTAAATTGCTATTGTAGGGGTTGTTTTTAAAAGTCTGGAACGGATTAATTACTTTCTATGGGAAAGAGCACCTTGGTTTTGGAACACTTTGGTTTTGGAACAGACTTCCAGAACCAATTAAGTTTGAGAACCAAGGTAGTACCGTACCATTTAAGAAGGCACTGCCATTCTGCCTCATTGCAGCTTTGCTTCTTTGTTCACCTGGCTGAATCAGCTAGACTCAAAGCAGAACACCTGGTAGTGAAACCGAAGTCATCTTCAGATGTTCCCAACCGGCACCAAAGAGTGCCTTGCCTAGGAAGATCAAAGTTTGACTAGGAAGATCAGATGACTGAAACTAGCCCTTGGACTTGTAGCAAGGTCATTGTATGTTCCACACAATGGTAGCTGAGCAACCATCTGCCACAAGGTTTAATTGGTAACTAGCTGTTCCTACACCCTCGCTGTCAGCCCAAAGTCCATTTGTCTGTGAGAGCAAGTGTTCTGATTACTTGCACGTCTACATAGTCTGCTTCAAGGTGTATGGAACTTGTCACAATCAGGCAAAAGCCGTTTTCAATTATGTGAATCAGAATGCAATGAGAAACATGCAGGCCCAGGAGAGAGAATTGTGTATCATACCCACTAAAAACATTCCAAGTTCTATAAATAACATTGTCTAAGAAGACTAAGCACACCCAGACACACTCATCGTTCCACTCACTTGTGATTTTTCACTTCACAGAAGATATTAGGTTGCCTACATTTTTCACACCATTCGGCTGTTCACATGAGTTGCCATTTGCAGAAGTGGCCACTGTATTTCGGGCTTGTCTATACGGCAACAAAATGTAGGAGTATCCACATGATGTCAGTCCTACCCCCATTTTTGTCTTGGACCTTTCTCCCTTGTAAATGCAGGGAATTTCAATCATCTTACATCTTACATTTTAAAGGGCGGAAGGTCAAGGATCACACTGGGATGAGGTTCACATTTTACTTTGGACAGTACAGGAGAAAAGACTATCCTAACCCTGCACATTCTCTAATACAGTAGTAACCAAGACAATTTAAAGCATCAAAGCAGAAATAATTGATCAAAAAGATTGCGATGAGGCAACTACTGCTCTTCTTAAAACAGTCACTGTAAATTTTAGAAGGCCTCAAATGCACACAAAACTCCATTGCCCTTTGAGCGCTTAATGAGCCCTCAGTGAGAGCCTTCTTAATATGATTAAAGGCAACACTTTAGATCCTACCATGCACCAGCCTCAGAACTAAAGACACTAAAGATCAATGTGTCGTTGCCTTGATCTGGGAGAAATATTTAAGTCTTTACATTAATCATAAGTTCAGCAAATAGGAAAGTGCTTCAAAAGATTTAATTAGATATTGGCTGTATTTGAAATGCTAACAGCAAAGGAAATTAGAGTGTTAACTGCTCTTTAATTTATTTCCAGTTGCTTGTTAATGCTAATTGATTATAACATTAACGGAGCACTCAATTGCCTTATTAATCTAGACAAACAAGATCTGAAATACTTGGAGGCATCATTGGCATGAACATCTCATAGAAATCAATCTCATAAACAGTCTTCCTTGTTTCAAGATGCCTCTAGGTGTGGACAGCTAGTACCACCACCCATGCCTCCTTTTGCCCAAGTCAATGGCATCATAGAGAAAAGGAGCTGGGTATTCCTAGAGCGGTGGAAGATTCTTCCCCAACATGTAAAGACACACATATGGAGGAGATAGTTATTTAAATTTTATAGTGGACAAAAAGGGGGCCAGCATTTTATCGTTCTTTATTTGCATTCTTTTCCTCCTATCTCGTAT